CTTTACACAATTGATGTATGTATGAATTTTGATAAGAGTTGAATGAGCCCCTAATAAAATGATTAAAAAAAAAAAAAAAGCTCTCATGGATTCCTGGAATCTGGAAATCATTGCCATATGCAGGGCTGGCTGGCTGGGCACAGGCTCAGAAAAGCCCTGGGAGAGACCTCCAGGCTCTGCACAAGCAGTGTGCGCACACCACTTGTACATGTTACACGGATTAAAATGGTGAATTTGAAGTTATGCACACATCAGAATTAGGGGAGAAAATATTTTAAGCGACTATGGAATATGAAAAAGGAGGCAGAAAAGTATTCAAGACTATCAGAATATTCAGAGGCACTGCCTAGAAAGAAGTTCTGATTGGAAGCGAGGCCTCTTCTTTCCTAGAGAACCCCACCCCAGCTAACACAATTGGCAAGTCTCTTTCGATCACTCTCAGCACCTGTGCACAGCACAGGACTTTTATCTGGATGATGTGATTAGAGTCCTGGTGGTTCTGGGGTTATGTATTTGACCATGAGCTGCCGCTTCTCGAAAGAAAGCCTGGGCTTTCTACTCCTGTAAGCAGTTAAAGTCTTGGAAATCCACAGGGGATTGTTAGGAGTCAGCATTGATACTTCCTTCTGAAACGACGTTCAAGTAAACCGAGTCAGGACATAATGCAGCACGGGAAGAGTACTTACTGAGTACAATGATAGCCTCGAACCTCAGGCTTTGGCTGGTGTTTCTTCAGATGCTTGCTTAGCCCAGAGCCTCGGTGAAAAGACTTTCCACAAACTGAGCAAAGGTACTTGGACTCTCCTGTAAACAAAAAGTACGTCACAAGTTCAACAAGTGGGTCCACTGCAACTGAATTCTTTATGCCATATTTTAGAAGTGATTTTATATAAAGATGATACAGAAGCATTTGGCAGGCATCTTTTCCAAGAACAACAACAACAACAACAACAAAAAACCAAGTGAAAACCTATTTCTTGTGGTGTAGTAATTACTTAGATGGCTCCTCTAGCCGGTCTTTATAATCCCCCAAATGTCTGGGGGGGTGGTGGGGACTATGAAAACGAGGTGCATGTGGCTCACCAAGGGGAGAGGACAGCTTGCTGACAATAAGGGAGTTGAATGCCTTAGGGCAGGCACCCTCAAACTGCGGCCCGCTGAGGACATTTATCAGGCCCGCTGGGTGATTTTGTGCCGTTTGTTTTTTTACTTCAAAATAAGATATGTGCGGTATGCATAGGGATTTATTCTTAGTTTTTTTTAAAACTATAGTCCGGCCCTCCAACAGGTCTGAAGGACAGTTAACTGGTCCCCCGTTTTAAAAGTTTGAGGACTCCTGCCTAAGGGTAACAGGCTTCCTGGGGGTATAGGTACCTCCAAGCATTTATTGGAGGCAGCTGAGTTTGCCCACCTATTAAGCTTGAACTAAGCACTTTTGGGCGAAAGGCTTATTGGTTGAGAGGGTGCCTCCTGGCCCTTCCAGTGCTGTTAGCACACTTGCCTGAGCAGGGCAGGAGGACTGCTGCACACGGGCCCCTTGGTGGGGGCGGAGTGAGGACCAGAGAGAGGCCTGCCTGTGGCATAACTGAGGAGAGGCTGTCCTGTTCAAATAACGCTATCCCGAGTCCTTCTTGATCCTGCATTGTAACCTGTTACCTTCCTAATAAACTCTGAAATCATGATTCTTGTCTGTGTGTGGCCATTGCAATGAATCATCAAACCCAGAAGAGTAAGAGAGTGCTCTGCTATTACTTCCAAGAGTGAAATGGCTAAGTAAAACAGGTTGGAAGGCAGAAGCATGTCTGACCATCACACCACAGGAACCAGTCTCAACCTGTTGATGCTGATAGTGGGTCACCTCTTTGCTTGCCCCCCACCCCCGATACCACCATTATGCATCCCAACTGTCCTGTGCTACCAAAGGTCAGTACTCAACTGTCCTGTGCTTGCATCATCTATGAACCACAGAGGTAACAGAAATGAGTACAAGTTCTAGAGCAGATACCTATCCTTCAGCAGTCATTGCTATGTATTTGCTGTAAGGCATCTGATAAGAAGTATGTGTTGACTAAAAATCCGAATGAAACTAAACCACTTACTATGTTGAGTTTTACAATTTCCCTGTTGTTTAACTTTTTAAAAGCATGACTTATTTTTCTAGTGGCCTGGATCTAAATTACACATGATTTAACCCCCAGCACACGGTTTTCCTACATTGGGGAAAACAATATTTTGACATAACTAAGATAGTCCCCTAAAGCTAGGTTTAAGAAAACGTTTTAACTTCACTCATCAATTAAAAACACACAACATATATACAACCATCAATATAATTTTGAAGATAATGATAGCACATCAATATATATATATAGTAAACAAATACTACATGAAATACAAGTATGTCAACACACGTCTCATTACCTGTGTGAATACTCATATGTTCTTGAAGACTTCGTTTGGTAACAAAAGACTTCACACACAGTTCACACTGAAACTGCTTTTGTGATTGGTGGAGACTCTGGTGCAACTTGAGGCCGTGCTTATAGATAAAAGTCTTCCCACAGACCTGAGAGAGAACAAGGTGACTAACAGTAAACCAAAGAGAAGATAGGGACTTTTCTAAAGACCAAGAACAGAGAAACGAGTATGTTACTTTAAATAAATGATACATGACAGTGTGAAATTTGAAACACTACTGCTAAGGCTATCAGGTAATTGATATCCTTTTGACTCAGTATTTAAACACAAATACTGTATTTTTTCTTAAAGCCACAGGATCTCTGAAAGACCTCAAAACAATGCAAAACAACTGTGCTACTCTTATGAGATAAGCTGAGAAAAGGATATCACAGGGAGTTATCCAACCTTGTAGCTTATACTCTCATGTAATAAAGTCAAAAAAGATAAACACAGTAAGCCTCGTTCTTTCTAAAACCCTATTAATGAAAACAATTGTTCTTAAATTAAATATAGGTGCTACCAGACATTTTTTGCTGGTTCCAAGACATAGCTAGTCTGCAACTCTGAGTGGCGCCCAGCCCTCAGCTCTAAAAGGGTGTGTCGCTTGGGCAGGGCTGAGCTGACCCAGGCTTTGCCGACTCAGGAGGTCAGCTTCCGCACAGGTTCCCTTTGGTTCAGGTTGGGGTGATGAATGCTTACTCCCACCTGGTACATTCTTAAAAAACAAACAAGCAACCCAAACTCACTTCCACTGAGCCAATTCTGACTCAAGTTGACCCTATAGGACAGGGTAGAACTGTCCCTGTGGAGTTCTGAGACTGTAACTCTTTTTGGGAGTTGAAAGCCTCATCTTTCTGCCAAGGAGTGGCTGGTGGTGACCACAAGGTCAGCAGTTCAACATGTAACCCTCTAGGCCACCACAACCCCACGACATTCTTAGGACCTTAAAAAGTTCCATGTTTATGTAAATCCACTTCCTATTACACTTCCCACAGCAAACTAAAGAGCACAACAGGGAAAGGACGCCCTTGTCTAACGCGGACAATGAACCGAGGAAACCAGCTTTCACTGGGACAATTCATCAGAGGTGACCCCAGATGACACAACCAGCCCCACAGCCAGTTAAGTTCCCATCTTCTTTAAGTAACAAGTGTATGGCTGTACCTGGCATGCGTGCGGCTTCACACCTGTGTGCTTTAACATGTGTATTCGAAGAGAATAGAGTTTCGGTAGCGTCCTCCCGCAAATGGAGCATATAAATTCTCGTTTCGTTCTGCCCTTATCAGACGATGCTCCCGAGGCCTCAGTAGATGTGGAGGAGGAGGAGGAGGAAGCAGGCCCGTCTTTCCTGGTATGTCGAATAAGGTGTGCTCTCAGGGAGGCACTGTATTGAAACTGTTTTTTACACAGCTATAAGAAAAAATAGAATTCTGTCTGATATTCCAGTACAAAAAACGACACGAAACTTAGCTTGTAGTGTATTTCAACTTTTCATGTCTTTACTATTACATAAATTAATAAACATGCTTGAGATACATTCTGATCTGACTGCAGAATCCAAAATTTATATATCAAAAAGGTAAAGTATTCAAGAGGAGGGAATGATCAGAATAAGGCATCCCCCTCGAGGCAGGGGCTTGAAGAAGTGTTGGGGGCACATCCGAAGGCGGAAGAACACTCTCTCTCTATGACTACTGATAGGCATTAGATGGGGCAGAGAGAGAACTGGGGTAGCTCTTGGATTTGATCCTGTTATTTCAGTGGGAGTCTAAAGCCTTTTGTTACTTCATTTTAAATCAAAGCTCTAAGGCAGCAGTTCTCAACCTGTGGGTCGTGGCCTCCTTGGCAGTTGAACGACCCTTTCACAGGGGTCATCGACTCATAACAGTCGCAAAATCAGTTATGAAGTAGCAACGAAAATAATTTTATGGTGGTGGTGGTGGTAGGGGTCACAACATGAGGAACTGGATGAGAGGGTCGCAGCATTAGGAGGGTTGAGAACCACTGCTCTGAGGACTTTCAAAAAATCCATGGAAAAATTTCATTATCTTTTGGTCCCATTGTTTCATGAACTTTTTGAAGACCCCTCATATATGCTATTTAATGAAAAAAAAAAAACGTTTCCTGTTTCACCTCTCTCCATTAGCTTTTTAGAGGTAACATTCATTTCTGATTCATTCATAATGCTTATCTTTGTAACTCCTAAGTAATATGCAGTAATATGCGCGCAACAGGAAAAACTGACTGGTCTTAGAAGTACGGTCAGAGTGCTCCTTCAAGGCAAGGCTGGCACGGCCTCTCTTATCTACTTTAGACATACTGTCAGGAGAGACCAGTCCCTGGAGAGGGACCGCGTGGCTGCAACAATGGCTCAAGCACAGGAGCCATGGTGAAGACGGAGCAGGACAAGGCTGGGCAGTGTTCACTGTG